GAGTTCAGCCCTACATTTAATACAACATTAAAGACCTTAAGTTCCTTGAGAGGGCAATAGGATCACATACTTGTGTATTATTGGTAGGTAAGCTTGTTTGATGCCATGCAGTACAACGAGTTAAAAAGGAAGAGAGGTTGAGGAAGCAAAAGGAAATACGTGAAAAAGGGGTCGCTACAGAGGAAGGTGAGGTTGCAGGTAAACAGTGCACGGATGGGTTAATTGCATGTTGTAATAAGATTCTTACACTTTGCTTTTACTTCCCTTTTATGATACGTGCGTCCCCAGTCTTCCTGCTGCTCTCCTAGCTCAAAAAGAAAGGGTTCATTGGTATATACTTGCAGAGGTGCCCGGGAGCATTGCCCAAGGGAGGCCTGCAGATAATTACAAACCATTCAACAAACACAGCTCAGCGGCTCACGGAGACATCCTGACTGTGAGCCAATAGGCAAACAGAGCTCTAACGAGACAGAGATGACAAAACATGCCGTATATGAGTCATACAACAGCAGCTACCGGATTGGAAACATGGATCGAAGTTGCAAAGGCAAAAAAGTAACACCTGACTCACTGAATAGGATGGAAGCCGAGCAGGAGATGACAACAGCAAAGCTCAGAATATGATACATCCCATAAATACTATCACAGATAAAGAACATAATCATACTAGCTTGTAGACAGTATTGAAGAGAATAAAGAAGGTGCTGGTCACCATATTTTCAAGCTCATGATCATTACAATCACTTTTGTGATCATCATCAGCATCTCAATCTCATCTCCCAGATTTAAGTCTTTTTCCTTCATTAGTAAATGTCACCTCTATCTGCGACTAGACTCAGTGTACTCTCTGGGCCCTCAGTTCTCAAGAATGTGTGTTTGCAAGTGTGCGTATGTGTGCAGTGTTTGATGAAATAGCTTTGCCCCACAGGGTTGATATTCTAACTGAAAAAGGGAGAGGGCAGAGCGAAGAGCTCTGCAAAGAATCCGATGTATCAGTAACCTCAATCATGTCCCACACCTATGGCTAACCTCGGGCTAAGTTAGGGAATTAACAGAGCAGCCAGGGAGAGATGCAACACTGCCTTTGACTTTGCACTTCAGAGGTGCGAGCGCTTTGCCCCTCCTCTGGAGATTCTTGAGAAAGACCATCATTATACATTAATAACACCAGAGACTTCTCCCTCAGCCTGCACTGCCTCTGTTTGTGTCCCCTATCGATTTTTCACTGAATTCTTTTGATGAGAGTATAGGGACTGACACTTTGATTACGTTTACCGTTATTCGGTGTGTGTTTGAGTGTGCACTTATGAGTGTGGATGTAAGTTTGTGGATGTGTGCTGATGGACAGTGAATTTACTTGTGCAATGTGTGTATCTCTATGAGCATATGCTTCTTACTAGAAGTTTAAACGGCTGTTACTCTCCCATACTTGTTTAGTAAACCTCTCATAAAATGTATTATCTCATATGAACTCAATGCCATTCTGTACTGTTCTTAATATTCTTTACCACCCTTTCTTCCTTCACACACATTTTTCTCATTTTCTCCCTTTCTTTCTTTCTTTTTTGCAACTCTGTCGTTTTGCAAATTATAGGCTTGGCATTTTGGGAAGGGCAGTTCACCCTGTTGGTTCTTCACAGTTCTGTGCATTTGTCCTGCTGCCACTCCATGCGTAAAAATTCAAACCAACACAGCCATGGGGTGAAAAAAATCTCAAACAGCAACAGTGAACCAAGTGCAGAGCTTGAGCAAAGTGTCACACAAAATACAAACAAACATGCTCATTTGGATATCAGGACACGTAAAACAGCAAAGCCAATGAAGGGCTGTATTGTTTGGGCTAATTGTAGAGATAAGCAGCTCTTCCTGAGAGACTTCTCCTTTTTCTCTGAATGTCTCTGGCTGATCAGGTTTCAGTGACATTCAAAGATGGGGCCAGAACTGAGCACACACACTTCAAGCACACACATTATCAGACAAAGACCTGATCACCAGCTGGTGTAACCAAGACTCTACCTACAATGGTTTGCTCGGCTGTATATTTTGCAGTCCTCCATTATACCTTCTCCCTTGATATTAAAGTCATGGCTCATTCATTGTGAAAGAAATCGCTATATTATTATAATATCTGTCAAAAGCCCGGAAGGATATAGACCAAATTGAATAACCCTGCAGTTTGTCAGCAAATGTGCAATGTTTGCACATTTCTCTTTTTTCATCAAATAGGAACCACAACCTCAGGGTGTAAAAAGACATTTGGTGTTAAGTGCCTTTTGTTTCAGTAAGCACAAGTCAATATGTCTGTTTTTACATATGATATATGACACGCTCAGATGTGTTTAGCACAATGGTTTTCAAACTTTTTGTGCTCAAGGTGCTCTAAAGGGCAAGCCAAAATCCCAAGGCACACCTGTATTCAAAGCCCTAAAAATAGCCTCTATGACAAATGTTATCATTCTTATCACCCAGTAAACATTTATTTGTATTAATGGAAAATAAAACTTTCACTCATGAAATATTCATTAAGAAAATAATTTAAGTATTAAAGTACACTGAACAAAATTATAAACGCAACACTTTTGTTTTTGCCCCCATTCATCATGGCTGAACTCAAAAGATCTAAGACTTTCTCTATGTACACAAAAGGCTTATTTTGTTCACAAATCTGTCAAAATATGTTAGTGAGCACTTCTCCTTTGCCAAGGGAACCATGGGAACTTCTTCCTGAATCTGATCTTGATGTTTTTTAAGATCATTGAATGACCATATTGACATAGATTAGGGAAGCAAAGCAACAAAACATGTGAAGGAATGTGGACAATGTGACTATTAAAATAAAAAAAGCATGAAAAGAAAGTGAAAAATTAAAGCTTACATGTAGGCTATACATGCTCACGCATACTGCACATACCTAAACTACCTACTGCTAATGCACACACACTCACATGCAATCCTATATATGCACATTAAAAAGCATCTACATATCTTTAACTATTTGTAATATATTATACATTCTAAATATGATTAGCATGCGTACATGTATGTAAAAGGAAACTGACCAAATTAACACATTAGAGGTTATACTATACTATACTTTTTTTCTTTCCAAAGCCAAAGAAACAGATCAGTTCAACATGGCAGCCTCCACGGAAGGCGACCCACGATGACTGTAGCATAATGATTCTTATTTTCATGTGATTATACACTAAATGTTATGCATATATTCAATTGTTGCAAATATATCCTACTAAAAAGAGACAAAGAGACAAACAAACAACAACAGTTTTTGCTCCTATATGGGTTGTCATCTATTACATAACTATTCCACCTTTAACAACATACCCTCAATCCACTGGTGGATGTCAGAACTGCTGACACTGCACATTGTGTAGCTGTGACCCTATTTAGCACGTTTCCTCCTTCCCCCCTCCCCCTTTTTTTAATGCAGGTTCATCACAAGGATAAGTGATCTCACTCCTGGCTTGGTCCCTGCACCAATGATTAGAGCTCTAATCATCTGTCTATCAAAATACCTTAACCGAACAAAAACATGCACTAGTGTGGGCCACATTATTGACAGTAATGACTCTGTGTACAAGGGAGGGGAGGTATTTGTGTGCTCCTGTGCTGCCTGTCACCAGCAACTGAGTACACTGAAACCTGTGGGAATTGATTTCTGTAGGAACCTGCTGGTTAATTTATATGTGACGTTCAAACATGAGGACAAGTTCTCTGTGATAATCATAATTACTGGTTTAATACACAGTGAGGGAAAGGCCAAAAGAAAATATTGCTTTTTTGAGACAAACCTCTAAAACCAAATCACAGCCAGGTGAATTTTCTTTCATTATTATTCTTCAGTTTTTTTTAGCCTTTGCTAATATTGTCAAATGGAGTCATACTTGCCTTGCATAGATTCAGCTATATGTTAAGTGAACATGTTTACTGTATCTAGCATTTCGTTTACATTAAGTCCTGACCTTCTATTTTACAAACCATGTCCAATTATCTCAGGGCTCGCCTCAGATAAACTTGTGTGAATCTAGGGAAGGACTCTGGTGGTTTAAATCTGATTTCTGTGAAATAAATGAGACAGTTGCTTCAGTTTAATATTCTGTTTCATCTTTTTTTCTGCTATAGTGAGGTTCCTCTCCTTTAAACTCAAAAACAAGCAGACCTACTTCTAAAGGCTGTCACTTAAATTAGAAGTGCTGGGTGATGTCACACCTAGTCATTAACACTTTGAGATAATTACTAAACCATGTCAGGTATCCCTTATATGACGAGCCTTGAAAATTGTTGCAACTTTTATTAGATTTTCAGGAGGATTGCAGCCGCGGTCCGGTGTTATGTTACATTATCCTATTACACAGTCTGTGTACACTATACATTTACAACAATTTGCTGTTTGGGTTGCAGTGGAATAGGAGAGTCTACGTACGGTACGGTGGAAGTGAAGTAGCAGGCGCAGTGGCACAGCAGTCGAGGGCAGGGCGGCACAGGGAGGGAACGCTGAGCGCGCAGCGCTTAGCGAAGGGACGCGTTGATTGACAGTCGGAGGCACGGAGCGCCCCGTGCGGCACACAAGCGGAGCTCGCTAATCTTCCCGTACCCGTCTTGTCAAAGGCATCTCTGTGAAATACCAGCCACAGCAGCCTGACGCGAATAAAGGAGGTTCTATCCATCTCCCTTGGCTCGGTGTCGGGATCTTCTCGCCGAATTAACGAGTAAAAGGAACGCGGCAGCTCTGCGACCCTATCCCATCCTGTCTTTACCTGTTCAGCCTTAACTGGACATAGTCTGGGCTAACCTGTCGTCTCCAAGTGTCCTGGAAACTGGAGTGGATGGACAGAATGGTCAGGTTGCACTTTGCAATCTGAGCCAAAGAAGATTTTCAGTCGATTCCTTTTTATGGAGTAAAAGGACTGCGCCCGGTGCTTTGGGGATCATTTGGGGTTATTTTTTTTAGTTTTTGTTAAATTCAGTATAATTGTGCTGCATCTGTGAGTCAACTTACAAACCCTGGAGCCTGTAAACACTCTTTCTTTTATTATTTTTAATTGGAATAACCGCCAGATAATCAGGAGACTCTCGGGAGGAATTTTGGTGCGTAATTTGTGCGGTGTGTGGTTGCTGAGCCGCAGAAGTAGTTGTGTCTCCTTCTTTTTTTAACGTTAAATACCCCATTTTTCAATGGAGTAGCTAAATCACAGGTAAAGACTTCAAAAAGAGCGGCTTTATTCTCCGTCGCCTGGAACACACAGGCGGATCTGATGTGCAGATTCTTCGTAGGATGGTAAATGACCAATGGGGAATCATGAACAGCTCTTCTGAACTCGAAGATGGGACTCGGCATAAAAACCAGGTATGTTCACACCACCTATTGCGCTATGGGTTTGTGAGGAGTGGTGCATCTGCTTGGTGCAGTGTTACCACGCCGAGTTTGGTGATGTGGCTCTTTGGCGAATCTCTGCACTGTAGAGACAGTACATAAGCTTTTTCCCGACTACCCGGGCACTGGCACTTCTGTTGCTGTCATAATGTCTAAACCCACCCGCAAATCACACAATCCCCATGGCTACTTCGGTTTACCGTGACACTACGCTCCAAAGTGTTAGTTTGACTACTTAGGATACAAATAGAGGCACTGGGGAGAATAATGGTAAAATCACAGCAGGAAATTAATGTGTGAGGCCGGCAGTTGTTTGCGCATCTCAGCTGAATCTTCACCAAATATTCTCTGATTTTCTTCGCATGTAAATGTGAGCTGCTTTTGAATTGGGTGTCTGGAAGTCGAATTTTGTGTTGTTTGGAGTGTTGAAACAGTGCAAACAGACATTCTTCAATAGCCATTAACACTCCAGAGCTCTTCAGGCCAACAGTCTCCCGCTCGGATGAATTGAGACAGGAGCGGACGTGCGTTGTGTTGCAGCCAGACAAGCTCACTTTGGGGAATAGTCGATGTGTTTTCACAAGGTCAGTGGAGGGTTATTGACAGCCCATGAGGGAGAGGGCTCCCCTTGGCACAACGGAATCGGATTTCGGGGCACTGAGAGAGCTTGGCGCCTTTTGGAAACACGCAGAATGATTTACCTTTCGTCTCCACTTACCCATGAGGTTTTAGTTATTATGCGACAGATCACTGGAAAATAATGTGAAGGTGCTGATGAGGAAAGTTCCTCAGAGCCGGTGCAAAATGTTTTGACTTAGAATATATGTAAAGGATATCAGGAATGTTACATTGCTGCATTTTTGCACAGAGACCCTGCACTTTTTAATAACTGGCGATTGCTGTCCAAATTAATTCACCTGTTATGGAAAGAAAGCTGCAGCAGGGAATATAAATGGTATAATCACTCTTTTTAAAAAATGAACAGTTGGCTTTCCCAGACTGGCTCTTTCACCACGACTTTCTCTACAGGAATACTACTCAAAAATACATTTGTTTGCTCTCAGTTGTTCAGTGTGGGTTGTGTCATTCAGATAAGATAGAAGGAAACTTGTGGCACATTTACTCTAATTTACAATGCTTGACAGGTGCTAGAAAATATGTAGCCTCCTGTCTTGTGCTGCATGGCTTAGTGTGACTCATTTACATGGTGGCACTCTGACTCTGTTTGAGTCTTATAACATATAGTTCCATTAGTATCGATTCACAGAAGGCTGTGGTTAATTTTTCATATATCACAGTTGGCTGATTTTCATGTAATACTTCTGAGGTGGAGCTGATCAATGACTAAGAGGATATATGACCAATATTTAGCCTGCTGCCAACAAGCTGCTTTGCCTCTTTTATATCCACTGAAAGGTCACGCGAATAGCAAATATCTCTGCCCTGGGTTTTAATTTGATGAGTGTGTGTCCGGTAATACCACAAATCACTGTCTCGGATCAGTAAACTGCCCAGAAAAAAAAATATTTTTTTGCAAGGAAAAGGATATCTGATGTGATTAATATAAATTCTTCTTCATTTCTGTGGCCTTCAAGAAATAAATATGAATGACTAAATGAAGCTCTGATATGCTGAGTGGTAAGCCTAGAGGATGAAAAGGCAAAACATGTCCCCTAACCCCAGCACTCCGGATCAGACAGCATCGGGGAATGTTGGATGAGATGAGAGGTTGTGGGAAATGGGGATGGCTAATGTTGCTATCTGTCCTTCTCCTCCCTACATCTATCTGTCTCCTTCTGCTGCACTTGTTATTTTGCTACAGACACACATAAATACTTGTTCTCTCTGTGTGTGTCAGTCTGTCTCTCTCTGTAATCTTGAGCAGCAACACCAGACCTTTATCTCCAGCCTTGTGCTATTGACACAGTCATTTCAGACCCAGTGGGTAGGGATCGGTTAATAGAGATCTCTTGTGGTCTCGGGTTGTTTTGATATTACAAAACATGGCCCAGTATTCGTCTGGTAACTCTGCATATTTGATTTGTTGCTGTAGGTGAGCTGTCCCCCGTGCCCTTTTGTAACAGATGGAGGCCAGTTAGAGTAAAACGGAGCTTCAAGTGCAACTTAAAATTAGCTTTTAAATCTAATTCGCTGGATAATAGGCAACAGAGACTGAAGGCTACATGATCAAAGATGCTCTTAACTTTATGAGACATTTAAAAGAAACAAAATGGCTACCATTAGTATAACGAGTGTGAACAAAAGTGAAACCTTCACAGTAGCGCTGAAAAGGAATGAACGCTGATGTAGACCAAGGCCCCCGTCTGCCATTTTCACCATGTGAGGAAAATGGTGTAAACTTTGTTAAAGTTCTTGCTTGATACACTCGCTTCTTTTCTCCAAGATTGCTTGGGAAAAATGTAATTCCACACAAGAAACACAATAAACAAGGGATGTAATATTGTGCTGTAAAAACACCAATATTGATTTTGCCAGATTTCTTATAGGGCTGTTTTCTATAGCTGTTTCCATGGCATCATTCTCAAATTCCACCGCAAACTGAGTGTGAGCAACTAGTCTTTCATCTGAACTTAATATCATACATGTGATATGTACACACACACATATACACAAACACGCAATATATCTTTAGATTATATATGTCTTAACCACAGCTGGCCCATGCATGCACCTAACCCCCACACACACAAGTATAGCTGAGAAGTCAGTGAGGCCCAGTGGGGTTTCCCACTTGGCTGATCAATAACACTCTGAGAACTTCAAACTTCCCAAAGCACTGAAAGGACTGTTTGTGTATGAGTAGAATACCATAGCATCGTCTTGCCAGCTCACACAGTAAAATGCACGAACACACACACACATTGCACTAAAGAGGTATATATTTTGCAGACAATTTGTTGGATTTTTATAGGTAAAGCTTCACTTTAGCACCATGGCGCAACAAAAAAACATATCAAAGTCACAAAATCACATCAATAAGTTAGCAAATCGATTACCTAGGATTTTTATGTATCTCCAACAAATCAGACACAAAGCTGTAAAAAGGGGGATGGTTTGGCTTGACAGCACACACTGTAAGCCCACATCTATCAAAACACATTCTGCAGCAACTCAACTCAGAAATTATACCAGGCTTGCATGACAGCCATGGTCCACACACACACAACTTCCTCTGCCAGGATTTATCAATCTACACTAACTCACTTTAATGCACCTCGCCTCCCACGTGGTAACTGGGACACATCAGGCAGATAGCAGGTTTGATGATCCTTCATGTACACATCTTTCTACATACCTTACAATAAAAACTATTAAATTATTAATAGAATTTTGTTCCTGACCAATATTACAATTTACATTTGTTGGGTACTTTTTCAAAGTTATACAGTCCTGTGTTTCTACTTCAAAACCACATTTGGACAACTTTTCGCAGACATCAGCATGCCAAGAGTGAGCATCTTAACCAGACAACATCCAAGATTTCTGTTTTGTTGTTGTGCCAACTCAAAGAATTAACATTAATTCACTATAACTGAGTAAATTTGCATTTGACATTATAGCAGATGAAATCAACATCTGCCAGCTTAAACTTTCACTGGCAACAGCTTGTTAAGGCACTGCTATGTAAATTATAAATGTCATCTCTTGCAATTTAAAAAATTGCAACCTTTCAAACTGCGATTTTGATTACTTCTTTAGCTCTACTAATAATGCTGTATTTTAAAACGATAATCTGATTTATTTATTTATTTCAATAAACTTCAATGTAAATATGCTGGAGTTACCTAATAAGCTCATTTTAATTTGTTGTCCCTGGTCAGGTTATAACAAATTAGTGCACAATATCAGTACAGTACTTTAACAAGTACTACAAGAACAATACAATACAATATAATACATAAGTGCAATAAAAAAGTGACAGAGGTATATAAAAACAGTTACGTAAAGGGGGGGAGGAGCAAGCCGAAATCATACGTGTTAAGTATATGTTCCTTAGACTTGTACCATAATATTTCACATTACAAGTATGGAAGACATGTTTCTTGGCACCGCTAACATGTGAGATGACTTTTCAGTCACATAGAGTTGAGAGGTGAAGACTGTAGCTTTGTACTGTGTGACTGTATGTACTGAGAGATGTGGGCTGACTGGTTTTGTGGGTACCCTTGTCAGACTAATGAACCTGCTGAGCTGGCTGGAGGTATAGGAGGCAGTGTGGACTGGAGCAGAGCAAAGCAGAGAAAGTTCTCTGGTTCACTGGACCTGCGATTTCCCTGTGGGGGGTCCTGCTATGGCAGCAGAGCAACTCTAACAACCTCCGCTTCTGTCTCCCCGGCCCTGCTCTGGGTGGCATTGAGGAAACACCACCAGCTAAGGTTTTCAAGTCCCAAAAGGGTTTCATCCGTTTGTCAGATCACTATTGTACCTTTCTCACGGTTAGTTTGTGTGTGTTTGTGCCTGGGTCTGTGCAGATGTAAACTCTCACAAGAAGTAGTTTGTAGTGTGCGATGTTTTTAACACTTGTAATGCAAGTGTTTGACAAGGTTTCTGTGTTTACCTATGTGTGTGTACATATTGTCTATGTTATATTCCTGCATGTGTAAATTGACATGGAAAGAACTATCGCAGAGGAGAGACTGATCAAATTGGGCCATGCCAGTCTTTGAGTTTGCTGCAGTATGTGTTTAACAGTTGCACTCTATATAAAGACAGTTAAAAGACAGTGTGATACATTTGTGTGTGAGGCTGTGCATGCTGTGTGTGATCACATGCTTCTATCCATCCATTGTTCCTTTTAAACAATAATATGGGGGTGGGACCAGAGGGAGAGTTATTCCATTTATCAAGAAAAACAATCCCTCAGTGTCATTGATTTCACTTTCGTACTGCTCTTCATAACAATGCCGCCTTTATATTGGCATGCACTATAATGAATTTCAAAGCCTTAATGT